CAGAAGGAAAAAAGAAACAAAAATCTTTTGAAAACCAGTGATTGATCATTTCCTAATTTGTTTTTTGACTCACAGCATTTGGCAAAGCTGAGATTTTTGGATTTGAGTGGTTCTCAATTCTTAGAAAAAATTCCTGACTTATCCGAGATCCCAAACATAGAGCACTTGGATCTATGTAGGTGTACAAGTTTGGTTGAGATTGATGATTCTATTGGACTCCTTGATAAACTTGTTGAATTGAATCTTGATGGATGCGTTAACCTTACGAGGTTTGCAACAAGACTTAGATTGAACTCCCTAGAAAAACTTTATCTAAGTGATTGCAAAAGGCTTGAGAGTTTCCCAGAAATAGAAGTCAAGATGGAATCATTGTGGTGGTTGGACATATCAGGAAGTGGCATAAGAGAATTGCCTTCATCAATTGCATATCTTACTGGTCTTCCAGAATTACCGCTGCTTCCTGAGCTATATTCATTTACACTCAGAGGATGCAATCTATCAAAAAGTGATTTCGCCCTGCCCCTTGTTTACTGGTACACATTAACAGAACTTGATCTATCGGGAAACAATTTTGTCAATCTTCCGAGAGGCTTTAGCAAATTTGTCAACTTGAGGGAGCTTCGCTTGACTGATTGCGAGAGTCTTCTGGAAATTCCAGAACAAGTGCTTCCACCAAAAGTAAGTCCGGTAAGGCTGGATAACTGCACATCATTGCAAAAAATTCCAGAAGTGTCTTGGGTATTGCTGGATAACTGCACATCATTGGAGAAAATTGGCAGTATGTATCTGAGTTTGACCAATTGCGTTAGACTACGCGGCTACTACGACATCACAGAAAATATTTTTCTGAATCCGCGTTTTGATTACGACATTAATCTTCCAGGCGATGAAGTTCCAAAGTGGTTCAGCTATTGTAAAGATGCAACAATAGTTAGAACAAAGAGATACCAATACGATGCTAGATGTGAAGTTAGTTTTGAAATTCCTCCAAATTTAAAATGGGAGACGTTAAGATTGGTTCTATGTGTTGTTGCTGTTGCTGAGGTATCTATTTTCAATATTTCTTTCACGATTAGTCTCAATGGACAACGCGTCAATGAGATACGTCTTGACAGGATAGAGGAAGGTCATGTGCGGCTCACGTGTATTCCATTATTGAATCGGAACTACGTAAATTTAAGTCAACCACTGAAGCCGGGTAATCTGTGTAAAGTTGAGTTTCTCTTGTCTCTGTATGGCAGAGTGCCCGCAATCGATAAAATTCCCTGCGGGGTCCACCTATTAGGCCACCAGGTTGCTGATGTCAGTGTGACTGAAGATTTTTATCAGCGGTTGTTGCCTGAA